TCTTTCCTGCACCTCTGATGCTGCTTGGCCTGCTGTGTTCATCCAGCTCTACACCTTGTTATCTAGGATAATACTGAACCCACTTTACTGTCCATTCTCCTTATTTTACATTATCATAGAAACACAGAAGTTAAATTGACTAGGGACAAATTATGGCATGGAACACAGATAGTCAAGAGGAACTCAACTTCCAAAATCAGCTGCAGTTTCAGTCCAAACTTCCAAAGAATATTCTGCTGAAGGAAATGGTTAAGTAGTGCAGTCAGAAGTACTTGTGGAGTGTTCTTCCATTTTAATGGTGTATAGCTTCCCTAACTTACACATAGTTGACCAAGTGAGTTTGTATGGTTGTATGGTTCCCTTTTTCTCCATCATAACTGTGAAAACCAAACCTGTAATTGTAAATGCATATTCATGAAGCTCTGCAATAGTCACAGTGAGGAAGGAGTGGGAGTTGCAATTAAACAGATTTTTAAAGGTTAATTATGTTAATAGCGTTTTAGAATTTGAATGCCAGTAAAAAACAGATCAGCCCAAAAACAAATGCCCATAAATAAAACTTGAATAATACCAGTTAAGAGCTCTCAAAAAGCTCCAAGGCTGGAGGTTACTGAGATAAGGAGGGGCAAGGCCACTTGGAACCAAATCCAACGAACGATGGATAGATTTGAACCTCGAAGGCATGTCACTAGATTAAACTAACCCATATGGCAGAAACATTTCAGCTCATTCATCTTGAGCTACGTATAAAATCTGGAAAGCAACCTTTATTGCTCTCTCCACCCCAAGATAAGCAAATGCTCACTTTGAATGAATACTTTGAATGATCACAAACATAACATCAGAAATAATACAACAATTAACCTCAGCACTTCCAGGCTTGGTGTGGAGGAGAGGAATGTGTCATAGTCCCCATTTGTCCCATACTTGAAATGTCCCTGAATGTGAAAGAGTCTGCTGACAGACATGGTGCAGTCTTGTTTATGAAGATTATTATGGGCTTTGGAACCAGCCAATTTTAATAAAGTGTATAAGCTGAAGAACTAGCAAATAAACATTACCCATTAAATCACGCAAGTTAAAAAAGTCCTATCTTCAATTACTGGACAGCACTAAATTAGCTAAGCAGTTGCTGGATCATTACAACTGACCTTCCCCCAAATGGGTCAAGAGACATTGGTAAGAGGGGGTGCGAAATAGTAACTGGGTGATCATATTACTTGCTGGAAACTGCATGGCTGCTTACATTTGCCAAGAACAGGATTGGACTGGTTTGCCCTGCTCTTCAAATATGTTACTGATACTTACTGGTTCACACAAAATGGCTGAAGATGATGCCAAAGGGCTGCTGGTACCTAGGGATCCAAAACCCAAGAGTAAACACCTTAAGCGTCATCTAGAAAGAAGGGGGAAAACAGGGGAGAAAAAGATAGTACATACCCAGCATGAGTATCTCAAACAGCAGCGATTCAGTTTGTTTCTTTTAAAAAATATCAAAATTTAGAACATCTTTACATGATATCTCAAAGGCTTATCACAAATACAGTTTATAAACATCTCTTATGCATTCACACAATGTCAGCATCACTGGCAAGAATAATATCTACTGACCATCCTTAATTATCCTCAAGGAGATGGTGGTGAGACAGCTTCTTAAATCATTTCAGCGCATGTGAATACGTTCTCACAATACTATTAGGTAAGGAGATTCAGGACTTTGACCAAATGATGAAGAACAGCGATACATTTCCAAATCAGAATGGTGTATAATTTGAGGTGCACTTGGAGATGGTAGTGTTCACATATGCTTGCTGCCCTTTTAAATGGCAGAGCTCGTTAGTTTAGAAGGTGCTGTTGAAGAAGCCATGGTGAATTTGCTGTAGGGCATCTGGTACCAAACACAGTTGCTGGTAATGGAGTGAGTGAAAGTTTAAGACGGTGGATGGGATGCTGATCAAGTAACCAGCTTTGTCCTTGTCTTGATATTGATCTTGATCTTAAGAGTATTGTTCAAGCTGCACTCATCCAGGCAAATGAGCAGCATTCCATTACACCTCTGTCTTGTGCTTTGTGGACAGGCACTAGGGAGTCAGGAATTACTCACCACAGCCCCTGACCTATTTTGGCACCACAGATGTCTATGGCTGGTCCAATTAGTTTTCTCATAAATGGTAACCCGTAAGGTGTCAATTGTGGGGAAGTTTGATGATGGTAATAGTATTTAATATCATGGGGAGGGAGGTAGATTTCTCTTGTAGAAGAAGATCGTTGCCGAGGATTTGTGTGGCACAGATGTCACTTGTTCCTATCAATCAAATCTATTTGCTGACCTGGTCTTATTGTATATGGGCACAAACTGCTTCTTTTCTCAAATAACTGAAAATGGGCTAAACACTATAATCATCACCACTGAAACAGCAAAGGTTAGTTAGGCCTTGGATTGTGCTCTGAAGAGCTCTTGCAGTGATATCCTGGAGATGAGATGATTGGCCTACAACAACCATATCTTCCTTTTTGTTTAAGGTATGATTGTAACCAGTAGAATCTTTCAGATTCCCAACACAAATTTTGCTTCAGATTCTTGATCTCACACTGGGTTAAACGTTGTCTGATGTTGAGGCCAGTGTCTCTCACCTCACCTCTACAATGCAACTCTTTTGTCCATGTTTGGGCCTAGGCTGTAATGAGGTCAGGAGCCAGCAGATCCTGAAAAACTCAGAACGTTTATTGGTGAACATGCTGTTGGTGAGCAAATGCCATTTGATAGCACTGTTGATGATACCTTCCATCACTTTGCTGACGTGTTTATTTTTCAAAGCAGGATGAACTTAGCCAAATATTCTTAAATTTCTACATTGTGTGCTGCTCAGTTGGTGGGAAACAAAACAATTCTTCCTCTTTTCTTTGAATTAATTCCATATGAAAACAGAAAAAGACATTGGCTAACAGTTACCATCAGATATATAAGCAGCAATGCAAAGTTAATCCACTTTTTTGAGTGACAGGCTTATTTTAAAAAATATTTTATTCCATTCAAAACAAAAGGATATTCTGGACTGCCATTTAATACACCAAAAATACACCAACTAGAACCTTGTTGTTCCCTTGAAAAGTTAGGTGGGCAAGCAGACTAATATTCTGCACACGTTATAGCTCAATGCTGCTTTGACTTAGCCAGCAGCTGATGGAGCATTAAGAGAAAGAGATTTTTTCATCACACCAGCATTATTTACAAAGTGATAATCTCAGCAGTGTCCTAGTGCAGAACTAAATGAAGCTCATTATGACTAACACGTCAGAATCTAATCCTTCAACACTCCCAACACGCACTGTTATCCACAAAAGAAAATGACAATTCTATCTTGGGATGTTCACAGCGACCTTACACAAACAATCAAGGTTCCAAATGATCATTCAGGGCTGGGATAAAATTGGCCTCAACATCCTGAGTTAAGGAGGATTTGGGGATGCAGGAACCTATCTAGAAAGTGCATTTGTACGTATATGGGCTGAGGACATACTGGGCATGCTCCAATATCCACTACATTCAAAGATCATACAATCACCCAGTACATATCACATGAAGAATGAGCAGTTCAGCAAGGTATCCAGGCACCCAACACCCAAATTTTAGCAAGGAGGTGAGTAGAGGAGAAAGAATGCTACTTGACATATCAAACAGGATGAATACAGGATGTTGAGGGAGAGTCACTGTAAAAGGACAGTTAGAATTTAAATATTGCACTGTGGAACTATCAAAGCAGTTAAAAAAAACTGTTCTAAAATGTAATTTATTTGCAAACAGTTTTCCACTGGTCCATTAGTGATTAGGGACTATGAAGGATGAAGCAAGCTTAGGTCTTGACTTACATTTTAAAACAAATAACAGGATTAAAAAAAATACACTACCTTTCAAGATTAACTGTCATAATTTTAATGTATTTCACCACTTCCTCCTAATTGATATGAACCACATCAAAACAGTTATTAGCTCATTAGTAATTTGAACAGTGGCAGTTTATTACCATTTTTTGTAAATAACACAGACAGTTATCTTTATACAAGGAAAAAAAGTGATGCAGAAATACTGAGACAGTTCATTTCGGATGCCTTGTTTTGAACATCTACCTCACTGATGACGATTTCAAAACTGTAAATAATAGATGTAGATAAACTTCTATTGCAATTGAGAAACCATTTACAATAACTGAATTCAGATTACTGGGGAAAAAGTCTTGCTTCGGAAGAAATCTGCACATAAATAAAAACAAAAAATTGGGCAGAGTTCTGCATCAAGTTGAAGAACCGGGCACTACCAATTCAAATCGGCCAACCTGTCCTTCTTGTGCAAGCTGGTTCATAATATCATCTACACGGACTTTTCTGCTCACAACCAAATAACGCTCCTTTCCTTTTCCATAGGATTTACTCTTGAGCCCATACTTTGCAGCCATTTGATGGATTTGCATTCGCTCATCGTTGGTTAGCTCTTTGGAAAAGGTCAGTTCTTCCTGCTTGTCCGAACGGGCATAGTTTTTGATAAGATCTTCTATATCACGCTTGTTTAATTTAGAACCACTCTTGCTCATCTCTAAACCCAGGCCCTCCCTCTTGAACTGTTCTTTTACTATGATTGGCTCTGCAATACCTTCACCCTCTTTTCCTAAACCACCTCCTTTCCACCCCATTTTCCGTAAAAGCTGATTGCCAATGTTGTCCTCGGTGATCTTTTGTTTAAGAGCTTCCTCAGCCGATCTTCCCAGAATTGCACTTCGAGAGATGGCTGCATCAGTGTTTCCTGGTTTGCTTGATTTTACAACAGGTTGGGTTTCCCTCAGTATTGTCAAAGCTTTTTCTGCTGCTGTATGCTTCACCAACTTTTTGGTTCCATAAGCCTCAGCAATAAAGTGATCTTCAACAAAAACACGACATTGCCAGACCTGACTGGGTGTCAGTTGAAACTTGTAATCCACGGTCATTCTGTTAAATTGGGCTGAATTGTTCAGAATGCAGACAGCATTTTTTGCCGTCTCCAAAATGACAAAATCCATCCAGTGCTTCTTTTTGAGATCCTTTGAATGTCGGTTGCTCTGTTTAGTTGTTTCGTTTCCTTTATTGGCTGTATCTTTAGATTCTTTGCTTGGGATTTTCTCATCTGGTTTTTTGAGAGCAGGAGGAATGTCATTTCGAGGGGTGTTTTTTTCACACAATATTAAATCATCAATACAATTATTTTTACACTTGCGCTTCACAACCTCAACCACCACGTCTTTAAGGAACAACTTTAAGGCTTGCTCAGAGGCCCTATCACGAGCTCCAATTTTGCTGCCAGCATAACCTGTAGCCAAGTAGACACCCTGACATCTCAACTCACAGGCATAGCCATCTGTCAAGACTTTCTTATTTTTTGGTACGTCAGCTGGAGGGATCTCCTTCAGTGATACGTAGAAATACTGAGGATTTGTTTTACATGTCTGAATACAGCTGCTTAGCACATCGCTATGGTTTAGCTGGTTACTGAAGCCTCCAATTGAACTAAGCTTTCTTGACACAGATATCTGAAGCATATTAAAGAAAGTCTGTCTGCTCTTTATTGCAGATGGAGAAAAGCCACCAGATGGAGATGCCTTGCTTGACAAAGGTTCTGGAAGTATTGACTTGCTGGCATTCTTCTTAGACGATTTTCTACTCTTCGACCGTTTCGTCTGTGTGAAGCCCAGGCCCTTGTAGCCCTGTTTGTTGGCAACTGGGGTCTTGGAAAAATCCGGTCCCCTCATTGTTGGATAAAGATCTGATGGATTGGAATGATAAGCTTCATATTTAGCAGAATAATTCTGCTGTATTTTAGACATGTAAGTGCTTAAACAGCTTATCCCGTTAACGCAGTTTCCACTTTTGGCTTGCTCTCCATCTGTGAAGATGGTTTTGTACAAGGAGTCATAATCAAATGCGCTAGAATTCTGAGAAGTGGCAGGATCCAGTGGGCCATTTGAACTTTTGCTAGATTTGCTCGTTTTTGAGTTGGGCTGAGACTCTGCCTTTACCGATTTCTCCTCCATTCTAATCAAACAATTTGAATTATCTTCATCTAAATCTGCCCACCTTCGTGGCTTGTCTGATTGATTTGGCTTTTTCTTCACTTCATCCTCCTCCTTGGTGCTGCTGCTAACAAATGCAACTGGCTCAAATCGAAACCTAGGACGGAATAAAGGCGGTTTTCGCTTTGCTGTTGGATTTTCACCTGAGGTGGACAGAGATAGCGAGTGTGTTAGGTAGTATTTTCAAAACATTGACTGCCTTGCACATCAACAAGTTATACCTTTTGTTTTTAAAGAAACAAATCTGCAAACTTCAGCAATACCTATGCATCCATATATTCTTTTTTCTTTTGCTGATCTGCCAGTATTAATGTAATTGCTGCTAAAATAATTTCAAATAGTACACAAAAGCTGGGGTGAAGGAAAATTCTATTTTTTATAATGCTGTTGGGGTTTGTCTTTGCAGACTCCTTTTTCTGCAGTCAAGTTGCATAAGTTTGTTTTAATAGTAACTACAGAATAAGACTCTTAACTGATCTGATATGCCAGATGACATGGAGATGAAGATGACAAATTTGCTAGTCATTTCAGCATGTAGCAAACAGAGTTGATTGGGGAATTTTCAGAAGTATTGTATTTGGATTTCCAGAAAGCATTCAAGAAGGTGTCACATAGAAAGGTACTGCACAAAATACAAGCTCATGGTATTAGCAGTAATGTATAAACACAGATTGAGGATTGGTAAATACACAGGAGTGAGTCAGGACTAGGCCTGTTGTGAAAAGGACACAAGGAAACTGCAAGGGGATTTAGATATGTTGAGTAACTGGGCAAAAACTTGGCAAGTGGAGTTTAATGTAGGAAAGTGAGAGGTAAACAGTTTGGTAGGAAGAATCAAAGGCAGACTAATATTTAAATAGAGAGAAACTCCAAAAACAAGCAGCACAGAGGGGATCAGAGTGTTCTTGTGCATGAAACAGAAATGTTAGCATGCAGGTGCAGTAATTAAATAAGACAAATGCTATTTTGGCCTTTATTGCTAGAGGACTGCAGTTTAAAAATGAGGAAGTCTTGTTACGACTAGTATGGTGTTGGTAAGGCCACATCTGAAATTAAGTTTTGGTCCCCACTTTTAATCAAGGATATACAGGCATTGAAGGCAGTTCAAAAGTGACTCGTTACGCTGATTCCTGAGATGAAGGAATTGATTTATCAAAAACAGGTTAGGCCTTTATTCAAGACAACAAGGTGCAGGGCTGGATGAACACAGCAGGCCAAGCAGCATCATAGGAGCAGAGAGGCTGACGTTTCGGGCCCAGACCCTTCATCAGAAAAGGGGGAGGGGAAGGGGGTTTTGATATAAATAGGGAGAGAGTGGGAGGCGGATAGAAGAGGGATAGAGGAGAGGATAGGTGGAGAAGAAACAAACAGGTCGAAGAGGCGGGGATGGGGCCAGGAAAGGTGAGTGTAGGTAGGGAGTTAGGAAGGGGATAGGTCAGTCCAGGGAGGACGGACAGGTCAAGGGGGCGGGATGAGGTTGGTCGGTAGGAGATGGAGGTGCGGCTTGAGGTGGGAGGAGGGGATAGGTGGCAGGAAGAACAGGTTAGGGAGGCAGGGACGAGCTGGACTGGTTTTGGGATGCGGTGGGGGGAGGGGAGATTTTGAAACTTGTGAAATCCACATTGATACCATTGGGCTGCAGGGTTCCCAAGCGGAATATGAGTTGCTGTTCCTGCAACCTTCGGGTGGCATCGTTGTGGCACTGCAGGAGGCCCAGGATGGACATGTCGTCTGAGGAATGGGAGGGGGAGTTGAAATGGTTCGCGACTGGGAGGTGCAGTTGTTTGTTGCGAACCGAGCGTAGGTGTTCTGCAAAGCGGTCCCCGAGTCTCCGCTTGGTTTCCCCGATGTAGAGGAAGCCACACCGGGTACAGCGGATGCAGTATACCACATTGGCAGATGTGCAGGTGAACATCTGCTTGATGTGGAAAGTCTTCTTGGGGCCTGGGATGGGGGTGAGGGAGGAGGTATGGGGGCAGGTGTAGCACTTCCTGCGGTTGCAGGGAAAAGTGCCGGGTGTGGTGGAGCTGGAGGGGAGTGTGGAGCGGACAAGGGAGTCACGGAGAGAGTGGTCCCTCCGGAAAGCAGATAAGGGTGGGGAGGGAAAGATGTCTTTGGTGGTGGGGTCGGATTGCAGATGGCGGAAGTGTCGGAGGATGATGCGTTGGATCCGGAGGTTGGTGGGGTGGTACGTGAGGACGAGGGGGATTCTTTTTTGGTTCTTATTGCGTGGACGGGGTGTGAGGGATGAGGTGCGGGAGATGTGGGAGACACGGTTGAGGGCGTTCTCGACCACCGAGGAGGGGAAGTTACGGTCCTTGAAAAACGAGGACAACTGAGATGTACGGGAGTGGAATGCCTCATCCTGGGAGCAGATGCGGCGGAGGCGAAGGAATAGGGGATAGCATTTTTGCAGGAAGGTGGGTGGGAGGAGGAGTATTCTAGGTAGCTGTGGGAGTCGGTGGGCTTGAAATGAATATCGGTTTCTAGGTGGTTGCCCGATATGGAGACAGAGAGGTCCAGGAAGGGGAGAGAGGTGTTAGAGATGGTCCAGGTAAACTTAAGGTTGGGGTGGAAGGTGTTAGTGAAGTGTATGAACTGTTCGAGCTCCTCGTGGGAGCACGAGGCGGCGCCGATACAGTCATCAATGTAACGGAGGAAGAGGTGGGGTTTAGGGCCGGTGTAGGTACGGAAGAGGGATTGTTCCACGTAACCTACAAAGAGGCAGGCGTAGCTTGGGCCCATGCGGGTACCCATGGCTACCCCCTTTGTCTGTAGGAAGTGGGAGGAATTGAAAGAGAAGTTGTTGAGTGTGAGGACGAGTGCGGCTAAGCGGATGAGGGTGTCAGTGGAGGGGGACTGGTCGGGCCTG